ATTTCATCTCTTTGTGGAACTTCCTTGAAAAAAATAGGAAAATTTATCCTAACTGTCAACTTTGCAAGAGGCACAAGATTTAGACAATCCTTGAGAAATCTTATAGTTGAATGAGCCAAACTGACAAAAATACATGTTTTCCTAAGATGTATATTTAATTTCTTTGGAACTTGGTGTTTTTGAACTTCTAGTATTAGTCACATAGTGTGAAGTCACACTCATTTAAGAGTTGATGAGCAATCAAAATTTATCACTATTAGTCATGGTTTTTTTGCATTAAGGGACTATACATCCTAGGCCTGAGACATAGACATACTTTCACTTCGAACAGAAGTCACCTTTGAAAGCATTTTTATTTGTCTTATCCTAGATGTCAGCAAATAAATGGATATTTTTTTCATCCAACCTTTTGACAGTTGTTCAGTTACATGGGAATGTGAAATAAGTTGCAAAACTGTAAAGCAGTCATACACTCAATATTCTGAGGCACAAGACATCCATAATGGTCTGATAATTACAATATAAAACTATACTATCAGTCATTTTACAATAAAGCTTTTAAAAATGCCAACTAAAGCAGTCCAGACATACCCGAGACTTCAAAACCAGTCTAAGGACAACTTTGAAAACAGGTAATTCCTGGTGAGTGTGAAGACTCGCATGTGAATCCTAACCTGCTCAAGGCGGAAACCCCTCACTGCTGCGCCTCTGAGGCAGTCTGGAAAAGTGCTTTTCATCTGAAGAAATGATTCCCTCTTCTTTTACCAGATTTGTCCCTTGGGCAAATATGGCTACATTCATACAGACAGGCAATATCTTTTGCTAGATAAACTCTCAGAGCTGCAGAAGAGAGAGGGGATAAAAAAAAAAAACCCACTACACACCAAATAAACAGGGAAGCAATAAGTAGACAAGCTTTCATGTGCCCAAGCCGTTGTTAACGCAGCCTTGATCCTCACACTTCTTGCCTTTGCTGAATGCCCGAGCTCCAGAAGCTCCACATGCTGTGGATTTTCTGGTAGGGGAGAAGGAGAAATAAAACTACAAGCACAGAGGCAGAAGGGGACAGATATTCAAGGTTACCTGAGAAAGCAGCAGATTTGATGTTAGCTATTTGCTTGAAAGGACTTCTTTTTTGTGCAAGCCTAAAGCTGAGTTATGTCATTCAGACCAAGAGCCTTGTTTCAGACATGGCGTTGACTGCCGTGCAAGTTTCATGACTCTCTTCCCTAGGAGCACATAAAAGAAAAAAGCCTGCTAGAAGCAGTAGCAAAATCTTACAAAAGCATTTCCTAATTTAACCTGTTAAATTACTTGCCATTTATATGTAGAAATTAAGAAAATTGCCATCAGCACGTATGATCTCTTGCCATTTGTAGTAACAGTTCACAAAAGAAGTAATTTAAAATTCACCATCTTACAGGCACCCTATAATTTCTGATGTATCTCAGTATCTTAGAGGAATACATAGAGGGGAAATACACTGTATTAACCTTTAAGTGATGCATATTTAACAGAGACCTCTTTGGACTAGTAAAGAAATGACAACACAAGTTAGAAAATAAAGCTCCTTTTTCTTTCTCTCTTTTTTTTTTTTTTTCCTTTTTAAACAGAAGTGAAGCTACCCAGAAAGAGCAGCTAAATTAGACTGAAACACACCAAAAAAGCAGTTGGGAGACAAGCTGATTTTACCCTGACTGGTCCTTGCAGAGCCAGACCAGTTCTAGGCAGACATCAGTTCTGTACAGTGACTGTGCAAGTTTCAGCAACACAAATTCTTATACCTGCTGAAGACTTGAGACAAAGTATCAGGCATGTAAAAGCACATAAGATTCGGTGTAAGTTTGAAGAATGTAATAAAACAGGATAGATATTTCTGTTTAAATGCTTAACTACATAAATGCGTACTTACCTAATATCTTTCCTGTTAAGCCAAATAGTCTCTACAAATGCTCTAACCAGCTATAGTTTCCTCACTAAAGGAATGCACCCAGCTAGATGCCTGGTACAGTGAGATACAGATACATATATATGCATACACATATGCATTTGAAATACACAGTTTCAGAGTTATGAACAAATTATACTAATTCCTATCTGTAACATGGAGACTGATGCACACTAAGGAGGTGGGGGAGAGCATCTTTTAAAATATCTTAACATGCAGTTGCTCTTTTAATGAAAACGGAGAGGATGAGGCAGAGGGGAACACTCATACTTGTTGAAGCCTGTGGGTTTTGAACCACAGTTCATAGCAGTTTTGGAGAACTTTCTCAGAGGGACAGAAGATACTTAGTTATTCAACTAAACACTATATTCCCTTTATAAAACTTTGAAACTGCCTGGCTTTCTGCTTTACCCTAAGGCATCTGCTGTCCTATTCAATGGATGACTATTCATACACAGAAAGGCACCAAGAAAAATTTCCTGAGTATTTATAATTTTGAAGGAAGAATCTCTGATACTGCAACAAACACTACCGAATAAATCAGACTATTATGTCACTGTGAGATATGACAGTTCACATCAATATTTGTATCTTCCTGAAGCAGGATATACTACTGCAACATCTTTCAGTTATGAGTGATATCTCTATTGATTAAGACATGTAGTATTGGCTTGTTTCTTTGGTCCAGCTGTATTATATAGACTGAACTTGCGAGCATCTATACGGCATTTCATAATTTAATACAAAGTTATTAAACAAGCTTTAACTGAGGAAGCAATATTTAACTACTACAGTAACTATGGATTATCTGATGTCCAAGTTTAATACAAAACCATTTTCAAATTCACTGAAGACTCTCACCAACTGCATGGTTTCACGTGACTGAGTTAATACACATTCAGCTATCAAGTTTGAAAAATTTAGCAAAGTGATGCCATTTTTCCCCAAATCAGATGCTTCTAGAGCAGTTGTTGAAATCATAAGTTCAGTGGTCTCCTTTTGAGGAGGTGACACTGGAATGTCCTCAACACCCCCCCCCACCCCACCCCTCCCCTTTTTAGGGGTTTGAGAATCTGAAAAGGATCGTGCATAGTAGGTAATGTCACTTGTGGGAAGGAAGAGTCTGTCAGATGCAGAAATGTGCCCTCTTCATGTTCAGCGACTTGCTTGGTTCAAGTCCATAGAAAACAACTCCGTTACTGGCAGATGTCTTCCCCCGGCACAACCAATGCTAACACTTTCCAGAAACCAATCAATCTTTTCCCCCTCTTCTCTACATCCCTGCTAGTTCAGGTCTCTTCACTACCAGCTTATGAAAGTAATAATTTGTCATTTTATAACAAAATCATACAGTGTACTTGATCTATCCCTTTCCCCCAAAAAAGTCTCATAGGAATAACCTTAATTATATACACTCTAAAACGAATGTGAGTACTTGAAGAAAAGAACACCATCCCAAGTTGTATTGTCTTTTGTTATTAAAAAAAGCCAAGAGGAAACCCTTGGTAAGAGTGGAGCATATTAATAAATGACAAGACATCATGACATATGAGTTGATATTTAAAGGCCGCTAATAACACTTTTTGTAGTAGTTAGTGCAAGAGTTATCCCATATAAACAAGTATTGGATGGTAGACTTCAGTGATAAACAATTCACTTGATGACATTTACATATAAATACACATAAATAAAACCCTATGTAATTTAGGTTTGTAGTTAACAAAAAAATACGGTCTGAAATGAATTAAATGTATCTAGCTGGATCAAAGATCTTCCTCTAATGATGCTCACGTACACAGGGTATGAAAAGCATTAATTGTAGAATTCTCAATTTAGTAAAGTACTACTCTATAAAACAGAATCATGAAAACAGCTCTTACATTTTAATGTAAAGTATAAAATTGTATATTTACATTTACATACACTTTACTGAACTACATTGGGTAGCTCATGGTAAAAAACCATCCCTTTTTGAAAATCTTTCAAAAAATACATCAACTGCAGATATGATCAAAAGTTGCTAAGTTAGCAGCTGACATAACATCTGTAGTAAAAATATATTTTAGGAAAATACCTGGAAAAATCTAAACACCAATAAACACTTTAAAACTATTTTTGAAGTAAAAATTGTAGCAAAAAAACAGACTAAGCTAGCTAGGATAAGAGGAACTATTGCATACTGCTCTTTAAGAGCCATGTAGCGACTTAGAACACAAGCAGCGGATATGGTAGGAGTTATGTGGTGTAACAAAGTGGAAACCGGAGTAAAATAGGAAACCAGTTATCCAACTTCTCTCTATGTTTATTACCATTTTTACTCGGAGAAGTATAAGAAAAAGACTCCCCCTCACTAAGCATATCCTCCATCAAAGGCTAAAACAAATTAGTAAAAGGAACCCAATTTCAAGAGCCTTGGACCCCAAACTTAAAAACATTTACCATATGTACTTACAGTTCAGTGGACAATAAATTGGATTATTACACTACAAGTTGCAAAATAGTGTTAACTCTTAAAGTTAACCTGCAATATGAAGTGCTTTTTAAATATATATATCTATATAATATATAGATATTTGTAAAATACACGTGCAGATTTGATAGAACGAACTGTGGAAATAGCTTTCTCGAGTCTTTTTTTCCCATTAACAGATCTTTATCTCCTACACAAGGAGTTTCAGGATTCAACAAGGATTTCCACAATATGATCAAGCTCATTAAGATCAGATTTACAATTAGAGTTAGAAGTTGTAGTTGTCGGAGAAGAAAACGTTTCAAGCCCATCACAGTGTCCCATTTTTGTGTTGCTCATCATGCCTGTTAACATAGTATCAAGATCATAGTAAGAATTGTCAACTTCTGAAAACAGATCTTCAACAGAATTAGGACTTTTATTCTCCAGTGTCTCAAATATTTGATCTAATGATTTTTGAAAGTTTCCTTTATTCTCTTGTGGATTCTCCATTTCCCACATATTGCTCTGCAGGCTTCTCGGAGCTTGCACTGAAGAGGCTGTTGACATAGTTTCTGAACTATCTTGTGCCTGGTCACCCTCAAAGTCTTTATTGAAAGTACTATAGCCTGGAACATGCTTTCCCTCGGCTTGTTCCCTAGACGAACGACAGAGGATATCTGTTGAAACAAGACGATCCAGGGATGCCTGCCCTGTACTCTGTGTATTTATCATCTGCCAAGTCCCATCTTGAGTCATTTCCTCTTGGATCTGCCGTACCGTGTTGGCTATAAGTACCGAACGACAAAGGTTAGGTTCAACCAGCATGTGACACAGCTGAAGTTTAACCAAGGACATATCTAAAAGTGACTGCCGCTGAAGATTATATGAAGGAATAGCCTTAATACCAGCCAGAGTTCCTTCAATATCTTCTTCACCATCAAAACATTTTCTCTTTAATCCTCGCACAAACATTGTGTCCTGTTAAAAAAAACACAAACAGTTCTTGTATGATGTAAACAGCTCAAGAGGGAGGTGAAAAAAAGACTAAAAAACAAAACAAAAACTTTAAATTTAAACAGCAAATTCTTTTAATATAGAAACATCAGAATTGTCATACCAGGTTATAGAATGGCCAGTGTGGTACAACAGGGGTCAGGAACATATGGACTGGGTCCCAAAGACGGCACTCGGGAACCAGGATTGAGCAGGTCCACAAGTCATGGCATCGGAGAGAGGCAGGGGCTCCCAGCTCCTGGCTCCCATTAAGCTCCACGCTTGATGGAAGTCAGGAGCCGCTGCTTCGCACAGAAGCAAACATCTCAACGGCTGTATTTCACCTATTGGAGAGGCAGTTTCTCCTCGCTCCTCCCGAGATTGTACTGGCATGCTTAACTTCTAATTTTGGAAATAAAAATACAACCTGGCACACCATCTTAAAAAAATTGACCCCTTCAGAACATCAACATGCCTAACAGAGTAACGTAAAAAAAATACCATGGGCAGGATACTTGAAAAGGTTAGCTTGTTTTGGCTACAGGGAGAGTAAGATCTAGATTTCTTCCATGTAACTTGAAACATTCAACTGAGGTACCTAAAGCAGTCTTTCTGGTTCCCTTACTCAGGTGAGTAACTGAACTGTGTAATTCCAATATGAATTGTGCAAGGCCAGTAAGGACAGGCACAGTCACCCTCTGTGTGGGCTTCTGTACTTCTTTCCCAGTTGACTGTAAGAAAGCAAAATTCCCGTATTCCTAGTTCACCAGCTAAAAATAAGTGGGGTGCGTCCAGGCTTCTCATTATTTATATCTAAAAATCACTTGCTGAATTTTCCAAGGTATGACTTACAAGCACTAGCCTCCAGATCTTCTTCTGAATTGCACTAATTTTGACAAGTGCCCCATGCAAATATTGCCGCTGATCTCTTTGAAATACAAATTAACTTTTTTTTTTTTTAAATGCAGATGTCACTTCTCTTAGTCTTGTAAAAATTAGGTTGCAAATGAAAGCTAGTACCTGATCTTTACATTGTTGCAGCTTTGTTATGTCCCTTCTAAGTCTCCTATCCTCAGAATTCCTGTTTGCGCAGTATTTGGGGATTCTTTTTAATGTAGCGACACAAACAAAATGAAGTTTTTCAACTAAAAGCTGATAAATCAAAATACTATCGCACTGTCTTTCTACATCATTTTCCATTTCCCTTGGTAAGCCCTAACCTCTGACTTGCTTTTCTGGTTGCTATGGTATGTCCCACGTATTTTCAGAGAGCTGTCTCTCAGTTTTTTCAGAGTCACTAAAAATCCACCAAAGTGCAACAACATTGTTCCTTTCAAAATACATGACATACTTATCTACTCTGAAAACCTGGGGATAGCCCAGTAGCTAGATAAACATTTGGTCTGACTCGGTACAACACTTCTTACATTGTTGTATATATCCATGAAATAACCTTTTTTTGGATTTGCTGACTCATGAAGATTTCTTTCCACTGAAGGTACAAAACTCTTTAGAAATCATAGTATGCAGAGACTACAATATGGAATATATGAACTTGGTCTTATGGTCATTTTTCATAGACTTCTTAAAAGCTATCCACAGATTACCAGTATATTAAATGCTTTGGAAGTTTCTTTTAAAATTTTCTCCTGTAACCTAATATATTTGCATTATTCCCATTAAATACAACCCACGTTTTCACTTGACAGTGCCTTTTCCAGATTTTTAGATATACCTGCAACTTCCTATCAGAGGATATGCCATTCAATTTTTCCTACAAAGTTGTATGTACAATAATTTCTAAACACATGCACCCCATGTGAAACTTGACCTTGAGACATCTTTTGGGACTACTAATCAACTGTGTATGATCAGGTCATCAAACATTAAACACTCTGTGCAGAGTTTGAAGCTTCTTTTAGTTCAACTTATATCCTTGTGAAGAATAATTAAAACTTCCTAAATTAAATGAAAACAACTTCACTTGATTGTTAACCTAGTTTTCATACACCTACTATTCTAAGGCACACCAAGAGAAGAACAGAACACAGCAGAAAACTTGAAAACCTCAATATATCACACACTTGGTTGTGTAGAAGCAGAGAAAAAAGTTTTGTGGATTTTTAAAGGTAAACTTTCACAGCATTCACTGGATTTTTTTCTGTAACACTTACTTCCAATTAGTATCTTAACATCATAAAAACAATTCTTTGTTACCCTGTTCCTGAAACTGCACAAAATACTAGATTACTTTTTCATCTAGGAAGCAAGAAATTACATACCAGTAATTGCGTTTGATGTAGTCCTTCCTCTTCTCCCATGCTACTGAGCAAGAGTCCATACAGTAAAAGTTAGAGCACCACCTACCAAGTACCGGGAAGCAAGATGTCAGCCAAGTACTGCAGATGCAGAACAAAATAGTTTCCCATTTCAGAAACTTATACACCTCTATATTTTGTCAATTGCTTCACTATATCCTCACAACACTCCTACAAACATGAATAGTACTATTAAATCCAATTTACAGCTAGAGCGCAAAGGTGATTTGCCCAACAATACACACAAAATCTGTGGCAGGAGAAGGAAACTTCCAGTGTAAGTCCAAGTCCTAGGCTATTACCCTGACCTTTGGACTAGGCTCTCCCTTATCCCTATGCCTTTGCCATTTAAAGAGCAAACAAAATCTTTAGCGATCATCTGAAAAATTTAAACGTGCACAAAACCATACTGAAAGCAAGTCTTCATTACTTTTGTCACAAAACTATACAGTTTTCGCCTTTGTTGTGCAAAACCATGTCTCTCTCCAGCATCTCTAGAAAAAGAGCAAGCACGCACAAATACAAAAATGAAACATAGCAAAAGCAGGGCGAATTTTCCTTTACCCCCACAGAAACCTCATGACTAAGATTTACTTTGCAAGATGACAATAATGAAAGTAATGACAGTAATTAGATTGTTTAACTATAAATGCTGAGTTTTTAAAACACATTTAAGGCAAAATAAGATTTGATGTACCAAATACAACTACCAAACACATGCAACAATTCCTTTAATTACTGAAACCTAAAAGAATGCTCCGTTTCAATAGGCTACAAAAACTTATATGATAAAATATGAAAACAATTCAGATACTTTTCTAGACATGTCTGTACAGTACAAGACAGTTCAGTGTCTGCAACTGAAGTACATACCTAGAAAAGAAACAAGTAAAGAGGATGCATATGGACATCCATTTTTGTTTTCGACCGTGGCTGGTAATAAAAAATTTTTGTAGAGTGCTTGCTCTCAAAACAGGGGGTGGAGGGTAGGAGATGGTTGACAAAGGACTTGGGGGGCAGCAAGGCAGAAAACAAGTTTTTCTCAAGAAGTTGCATGCTTGTTAAAATACGACCACAAAAAACTCCACCTTAAACACTCTCAAGCCAAAATCTTTTGACTTGATCCCAAAATGTTCAGACTAAAATGCTGTTATGTCATGGAACCTGTATTTCAAGCAACTCATAGTCTCATTCTCTTTCACAGACTGAGCTCACAGCAACATTCAAGACAGGGTCATGAGGCATACAAACTACAACACCAGTGAGACACCATAATATCAAGTCAATAAAGTATTTCTTAGTTCTGTCAAACACCTTATGATGCCATAAAAGTTCAGCAGTTTTTGCTCCGTGGGTATACTTTCACAAAACACTCTATAAATGAAGGGCAATCTGTTTGAGAGCATGTATACTGTAACTATTTGAATCCCCAAATTCCTACTAGATATGCTTTTAGTTTAGGGTAGGTGACAAGGGCATAAACTTTGTTTAAAAACAAACAAACAAAACCCCACAAAAAAACCCACAACAACTACAGATAAAGATGATGCAATCACAAGAACAATAAATGAAAATATTTTCTGGTGCTATTTTGGGTATCTGACAATTTTAGAGGAAGAGGCTTTGACCGTTTTCCTCCCAAAATAGCAGACTGATAGAGGAGGGGACCATTGATGGGAACACACAAGTTCTTGGTAAAGGAGCCATTATCACATCCACAAACTAAAAGACATAGGGGATATTGGCAGACCAGTCCAGTCTGTAATCTATTAACATATTAAAGAAGGAAACCGTTTTCCCATGCAACATAACAATGCGTAAGACCTGCTACATGTGATTCCAGGTTCTTCCCTAGAGCAATAAACAAACCATGTGGACCTCTGTTACACAGCAATTATTTCTTCAGATTCTATTAACTGGCACATGAGCGTGCCTCAGAACGTAAGTTCTCGGTAAAAAAAGTAATTAATGTCACAGCCACTATCAGATACAACTAAAACCTTGCAAATAGCAACCTTCCCTAGACTTCCCTGCACTATCTCCAACACGCACTCATCTCAAGAGAATACTAAATTTAAAACCTAATTAATTAAAATGTAAGTATGTTTCTCTATTGATTTACATATTAACGTACTCAAAAAGGTATTAGCCATTGTGTAAAACCTCTTAGTATAAGAGAACAACACTGCTGCTGCTTTAGAAGCAAGGTGTTCAAAATTCCCTTATAATTTGAAGAAGCAAGAGGCAGTATCTAGACTACCTATATCATCTCCCTTCTTCCACTACTATCCAAGTATCAAGAGCCCAAACTTAGTGTGTTAAACTTAACTGCTGTTTGAAATAGGTGTACAAAAAAAAAAAAGCTGTCAAGCAGCATAATAGCGTACAAAAAAATGAGGTTTTGTGAGTTTTGGTGGTTTGGTTGTTTTGGGCTTTTTAATAGTAGCACAGGGAGCACAGTATTATGCAATTCATTAAAAGTTTTGCTTTTGGGATTGACAAATTCCCAGTCTGCTTTACAAATAAGGTATTTGAAATTTGATCCGATTCTTACTAGAGCATCAACTTACACATTCCAGATTCACACTCAATTCAGATTCATGTAGCACTATGCTGCCAAAAATATACTTAAGTATGTAAGGGAAAAAGTCACTTCCTAAGAGTTGGGCTAACAGAGAAGACAGGAGATTTTAGCAATGTTCATCTTACAGAGAAAGCACACAAAAAATACCTAGTGCTGGTGGTTCACTTACGCAGGGTGCTTTTTCTTTTTTTACAGCCACTAAGTATAGCGATGATGGTTAGCATGGGAAGGTAAGAACGTAGTGTATCTCCTCTCTACCACTCTAATCCCCCTCCCTCCAAAACTGTCCTTTATAACAACTATGGGAAGAAATCAAAGCTATGGGTAAAGGTGAAAAGAAGATGGAAAGCCAGGTACTCCTCTTTAGGCATACATATGCGTGCGTATGGTGGTGCTGAGTTATAAGGTGGGCTGCAGATACAGCAGAGGGCTGGCAGGGCCAGAAACATCCCTATTCGGACTGGGACAAAGGCACCTAAAAAAAAAAAAAGCACCGGGGTTTGGCCCACTCCCCGGGCGTAGGGGGCTGGCAGGCGCCGCCGCAGCACATGAGGGCTTCGTGATGGGGCACCGGCTCCCAAGAAAGGGCAGGCTGGGAAGCAGGCGGTGTGAGGAGCAGGAGGCTCGTGGAAACGCAGACACGGAGGACGGAGCAGCTAAGCGGGGGGCGGGGGGACAGCCCGCCGGAGCCGGCGGGGAGAGGCGTG